AAAATTTCATTACTCAAAAATATCAACAAGGAAGGAGCAGTGAGTGACCTCTTAATCCCCAATAAAGAAATTTCAATATTTTTGTTATATAACTTATTTTATCGTACAAAATAGGACTTCCGGTCAACGGTAAGATGTTTTTAGGAAGTTATAAATAATAAGCGGATTTTCAATAATGCTGGGCGGATTTTCAATAATGTTGATATCTTTATCCTTGCTGCGATCTTCGATTCAATTGTACTAAATTATTGCGAATGTACTTCTTTATGTTCCTTTACCATTATATTAAACTTTTATTGTTCTTGATCAAACAGTATATTAATAATAAAAATACTTACATGTAAAGACAAAATTTTTGGAGACAAAAATGTCCCAAATGTGCAAAATTAGTTTTTACAATTTTGTAATAATATTTTTTTGTAGTATCTTCTGATTTAAATAAAAAAATGTATATATCATGTTAAAATTATTCGTTCATAACAGTTCTTACATATTTGGTTATATTTTTTACAGACAAATTTTGTACAATTATGGTGCCTTTCCCCGTAAATAACATTTATCCCTCTTTTTAGGGCTAAAATAGGGATAAAAATTGGATTTAAAAAACTGAATGTACAGACCGTAACTAATTTCTGTAAATAAAGGTAACTATTTCTTTCAACAATTGTCTTAGCGAATTCGAATTATTACAAATACGTCTTATAGGCAACGCGTCGAATGCTTGTATTTTGATACATCAAACAACAGGACCCATTAGGTCATAGATTGCATTTTACATTCAGACATAATATCCGGATTACAATATGGTATAGAAACTCGATATTCCCTGTATGTACTATGCAAAAACTGTTTGTGCGTTTATTTCACATTCGGATAAAATTGTTCCAAAGACCTTAAGCGTAACTGTTTTTATTATTAATACACTATTTGATTAAGAACAATGGAAGTTTAATATAACGTTAAAGGAACGTAAACCAGTATATTTGTAATAATTTAGATATATTTATTGATAATAGTAAAAGTTAATGAAAGAAACAAGAAGCGGTAGGACAAAAACGTCCGTAAGATTGCAGCAGGGTTAATCCACGCGTACTGTGCTCCGAACTACACGTCGAACGGCGGGAAAGTTTGTAGAAAAAGAAAATCGCGGGAAGCTAATGGATCAATTAGGGTCTTCCGGTGTCGAACAGAGGCTCTCGGCAGGAAACAGAAAAAACTATCCTCATAAGGGTCCGTCGTCGCCCACGTTTCGATCAGAATTGAATAAAATAAAACGAAACATATTCGGCTTGTGACGCATTTAGTTCGGGACGATCGAACACGCTCGACCGGAACGTGACACGCGGAAGGACGTGCAAACGAGTAATTCGAGAATGGCGCAGGATATCGTTGCCACGGCTCATTATGCGGACAAATCTGACCCCGATTTCCGATTGTAATAATCTTCGTCACAATGAGAGCTACGTCGTGTGTTACATGGCCCGGTTGCCAGCGAGCCGGCCCTGAACGTCGGCGACGCTGTCTTATACCGATCGGTGCAGCAGAAAATAATGATCCTCCAGCTTAAAAGCCGCAGGAAACTATATGCGAGCGCGGCACGAAACGTCTTGGCAGGATATCGTGTTAAGCGTCAAGCGTACGTTCCGTCTTCTTGGAACTCGAGGGTCACCGTGGCTCGATTGTGGATTGGTCGACGCTCGTACGGGACCCTTTTCTCTCACAGGCCCAACGTTTACAATTTTTGACAATTCTGCGGTTTGTCACAGACGACCAACGATGAAGCATCGTTTAACACTCGAACGGCGATCGCTGGGTCTCTTCAGACCCATATCTTATATTTTGCAATACCCATGTATATTTAGACTTCTAACCTACAATAATGTAGAATATTTGTTTTACCCACTTGCTAGAAGACATAATGATCCCAATTTTGCTTTCAGTATTTTTGAGTTTTATTACAAGAATACATATTTTATTAGATCCTTGCTCTTAAAATACCAATAAATAAACAGTCACAAAGTGCATAATGAATACCAGAAATATCAATATTTTAGAAAATAGGGGTAAAGAATAAATGAAAGTAAGTGTTATTTGGGTTCAAAGAGACACATCGACCGCCGGGCGAGTGTTAAGAAGGTATTCCCATTTGGGGCGTCGATTTGAAACCATTTTTAAAATAAATAATTGTTATATGAGTATAAAGTACCCTAAAATTTTTCCCATGAGTTTAGTTATTCTTCAAGGCAACACGATTCAATTTTCATGTAATTATCATTATTATTACTATTGAATCGATGAATCTTGGAATTTTTCATACATATTAAATAAATGTTTCTTTATCGCGTGAATCAAAATTATGTTAATATTTGTAATAGTCTTTTATTTGTCATCTAAAGGGGTAAACAATTCTATAACTTTTTACTTTATACAGCCGCCATTTTGTCAAGAAAAATTTTTCTTTATTTCATTTTGGTTCAATAACAGTGACTGATCTACATATAGATTAATATCCTTTATGAATGTTTTATTTCGAGTAAATACAACGACGTCAATCGTGGCAACCATTTAAAGTACTATCTGTCTAAAAACGATGGCTCCCAATGGGAATACCCCATTAAGGCGGAACTAATTTTTCAAAATTATGATTTTTAAATAAGTGGAAGAGAAAAACGATAAATGTCTAAAATTTCCATATTCTCTGAATCTGAATTTTCTGAAATGAAAAAAAGTTTCTAGAATTTTCAAATTGTTCCAGTTTCACTTCTAAAGTGCCGTATGTTTTTATATGGGAAACGTTGTTTCAAAGCTGTTAATAACGATTATACTAACGAATTTCGAGATTGGTACAAATGTTTAGAGAAACACAATGTGTTTGCTGAGCTAATTTTCTAATACCATGGTTTATGTTCCTCGTATTGCTGTTTACAAAGAGGGTGACAGTCCAAAGAACGTACTGTTTGAATGTTTTAGTGAACTCAAACAGTATAATAATTGTCAGCCGATGTATTTAAAAATGTGCAATTATATATAAAATTCTAAATGTTATTGATAGCTTTATATACAAGTAAATTTATCTTAATCTGTACATTGGATTTTTGAATTACAATGATTTGGTCGCCTATACTAACTTGTTTAGGCAAAAAAACAAATCTTCATATCTGAAATTAATAAATGTGATCTTGTAGTGTAAACTATGATGACAATAAGAAGACAAACAGAAAATTATTTGTTTAAGATGACGTAAGAAGAAAATAAGAGGGAAAGATAGCAGAGAAAGAGGAAGGAAACAAAGAAACTTGCTTTTGAATAAGTACAAGGTCGACCTTATCACCCTTTATTCAAGAAATAATGAACACAAAAAAGGAATTCATAACATTTAAAATTCAAGTACAATTGAACTTTTGAATTTTGTCAAGTTTAACAAACTTAATCATCATTAGGATTACATCTTCATTAACTCTTGGAATAAAAAAGTAAGTTTCTTTTTTTTATCATTTCCCTTTATTATTTTTTTCTTCTTTCATTTTATTATCGTTATTATTTACGCTAAAAAATCTCATTTATTCAGTTTAAATATTTGTGTTTGATAAATAAAGAAGCCCGTAATACGAACGGTAGAAACGTAATTGAGAAGTCCAATATACACGTTACGATAAATGGACATTTCTCGCCCTATACGCGCCCAGATCACCAATTAACCAAACATGACATTTACATAATTATTTGACGGAGCAAACAATAACATGTTTTTGGTATGCATACGTAAAGTTGATAGATCGGTAATTGAAATCAGCTGCCCAAGCTATTTGTTTCATTTCCTATTGAATATTACGTTTCAGTTAATCCGCGGGATGCTTAAACACCGGCTGCTGCGAGGTTAACCATTTTAAGTAGTTTCAACTCGTTTTATTATGCGAAGGGTGCTCGGGAGATTGCACTCGAAGCACAGTTTCCGCGAAAAAATTGGCGAGCCGAGTGCTCGCGTTCCCCACAATATCTGCTGCTCATTTTTTAATCGCACAAATAAGAACAGCTTAGGGGTAGAAAGGACCCCTCTAACGTAGAACAAACATCATAAATCTTCTTTAAACAATGTTAACAAGGGACGACCCTTCGAATTAGATTGCTCTTATTAACATCTATATTCCGCTTTTACGTTCGCGAAACTTAATTCCAGCAATTCACTTAGTATTCGCTTAACGGTTCATCCGATCAATCCGCGAGCTTCGTCTAACGCTTCAGTCGAGCGGGTTAACCGGTTTTAAGTAAAATTAGATTTTTAATCGTTCCGGGGCACCGGCGACGAAAAGATTCAAATTTGTTCGACGAAATTTCATTAGTTGCGCGGAGAAAAGAATTCGTGTGTTCCGTCGTTCTGCCAGACAAAAAGCGGACTCGGTGGTAATTTTTACGAGCACTTTTCGTACATCAGTCTGTGGCAAGGAAGGTCACAGTGCGCTTCAAGTACGCTCCTACAGACACACCCAGTATTAACACTTAACTACGTGACCTAGTGTCCCCGTCGTTGTACAACGAAAGCAAAGCATAAAAACACACACACACACAAACAAATCACACGGAATGTCTGTGGAAATAAATAGGACAATCAGAACCGAGGGAGTGACATCTTTCGTCGGTGGTCACGTTCGAGCCTATCGTCGCGACGCTGCTGGAATCGAATTGCTTTCGATTCTCGAGTTCCCCATTCATATTGTAAATTGCGAATCAAGAACCGTCGGGCGTACAACGATCAAATGACGTTGGTGATAAATGTGTGAATATTTAAAAATCGAATAAAAATCTGGTACGCGCGTTTCTTTAGTCGTGAAGTTAATGATAGAAATGAAATGAAGGGAATTTCTGAGTATAACGGTTACACGAACACAAATCGAACGCGAAATTTTCCAAAAATTATGTTACAAATAATATGTCGAAAAAGAAACAGTTACGGTGGAAGATGAGAAACATCAAGGGAGACAAAGAACAAAATCGAAACTTACAGCGTGTGACCAGCCTGTTGTTGGTCTGACTTGGGGGCGGAATTGCAGGCGGCGGGGGTGGTTGGGAGCTCAAATCCTCGAAGTTTATGATTTGCAAGCAGACGTCGTCCACCTCGCTCCTTATCAGTGCTATCACTTCGCTGCACAAGAACTTGGTGCCTGCGACAAACAATTCGCAAATTCGATTAGTATACATGTGTGTTGCGATACTTTGCACAAATATCGTGCTGCACGGATTTAACAAACCGATTTCCTCCCTGTAAGTGTAACTTTGTCTCTATCTCTTTAACCTCTTTGGGTCTGATTTATACATATACGCGGGCTTTAAGATTGTTTGTTAATGTAAAATAATCTTTTAAATTAATAAACGTTATATGCCAATTAATGTCTTGAGTGTTTTCCGTGGCAATTAGTGACATCGATCGAATAATATTACAAATAATTTAGCGCTTCTGCAGTATAGTGAATCGTAAGAGAGACATTACAATTAAAAGTATTTAAAATAATGTTACTGTAATGTCTTACTTTGTCTACAAAATTATACTTATTCTTTACATAAAACTTCAACTTATAGTTTGAAATACATTAATTTATATTTAGACAAAATCGTTTATTAAGATTCACATATATTTTGTAATTTTACCATTCAATTACACTTATGGAACTCAATTATCTATTTTTTTTTTTATCCAGACAGGATTTCACTTGAATGAAACATCGAATTTTGTATTGATTCTTTTTTCAAAACCTTGGGATTTTTAAATACATACTTAAAATTTTACGATGATATTCGAAGTTTAAAAAAAATTATAGTCTCTTGAAGGAGAAACGTGGAAAAAGAATACTAAACAGGTCAAAGTATGCAATTTAAAACTTTAAAGCCATTTTTCTTGAAACGACTTTCCTTGCCCGATGTTGATAAAATTTCCAGAACTAATCGATTCATTCCTTTGAAATTTTACAATTGGTACTAAAATTATTAGAGCATCAATAAGTGTTTTTGTTTCATTAGGCAAAATTCCTACAATTTCAGGGCGAATTCGAACTTTGAATTACTTTCTTATTTATTCCTTAAATAAAAATCAACATCGATTACTAACATTGTCGAAATAATACTAGGTTTACTATTTGTTTAGTATAGAAAGGTGGGTATCTTTATGTATGCATAATGAACATTATATATTTATGACAACAAACACTAAAGAAAATATTGCTGAATACATGAAATTACATACAATTTATTGTTAATGTCATAATAGCATGAGAACTGTTGGATGCTACGCTTGTATACTTTTATGTGGTATTTGCAGTTCAGGCGTAATTTAAATAACTGCACATCTTTAAAACTTTTAAAACGTCATTTCGTTCATCCAAATCTCACCGCAGAACTTTCGAATAAAGATGGTGTTGAATAAAAACATGTAACATTACTCGATAAAGCAAGAATTTGAAGATAATTTTATCTTTAGATTTTTCAAACGCATAATTTGTAATATTTTCTTCTTAAGAAACATCGCAAATATTAGGTACTCGAGTATTAAGTATTCTCTAGGTTCTCGAAGAGAATAGTATGATTATTTATTGAAATAGGTGTCATTCAAAGGGGACATCAAAATAATGGTCGAAACGTTATTTTAACTTATTATTATTTGATTTTCTTTGTACCTTGGAAGTATTTTATCACAATGTTATGAGACTTAATATAGTAACTTTGATAAATGAGTTATTGAAGATATTCAGTTTTTGAAAATATTTGACGAAAAAGTGAAGTGATATTGACAGATATTCTATTTTTTCAAAGTATTTTAATCCCTTTCTCCATTGTGTTTTAGTAGTAGTTTATTCGATGACTACTGTATACAGAACATAAATGCTATTAAATTTAAAAACGAAAAGGAAGAATTTCTTGCCATAAAAGGTACAGTTAACAGTTTCGCTTGTTAAAAACGAGGAAATTGGAGATGTTCAAAAATAATATCGGAAAGCTTCTGCAACAATGTTGCCAGCTTTTTTTGTTTAATATGGAATTTTGCCCGAAGGTTTGCTGACCTCTGGCACAGATCTACGAATATGCAAAACTTGAAGTAAATCTATATGGGCGAGAGACGGGAGTTTCGTCGATTATGAATAAAACATAAATATATTTGTAGTCGATTGAACATTTATCATTTATTATAGTGCTTTCTACCCATATCTGGGTCTTTTTCGGTAAAAAGATTTTTTCCAATCTATAATAATTTTAGAAAAATACATTAATAAATACTACTTCCAAGATAGTACGTACGAAAAAATCTTGATGTTATTAAGTCTAAATAAAATTTCTTAGGTTATATAATTCAAAATACTAAAAGTCATGTGGTAAAATCATGGCATGTATCCACACATGTAAAAGTCCAAGATATACATATAATATGAGTTTCCTTTATAACATAATGAATAAATGGTAGCTTCATTTTATAATTTACATCGCCTTGCAGTGTCAATTCGTTTTTGCTCCGCATTAATTAAATATCCGGTGACTTACGGACGAGGGTGTACATAAATAATTTACGAGGAAAAAGCTTTCCCTTTTAAAAACATCCATAACTTCGGCTGTCCTCCGCTTTTCTTATCGAAAGGACCCCCGAATCGTTCGCAATAAGAAATAAGAATTTTGCTCGTCTCTGCCGTCAAGTAAGAAGTATTGATCTTTCGTGTGAAACGAAGAAATTATGCAGACAAACAGATACGTTCGTACGCACAACAGAAAATCCGCTCTTATTGGTCGCATTAAACGGCCACAGACCATGGATATCTGGCACGATAAATATTCGGAAACGACGTTTAGTGGATGTCTATTAGACCAGACTCGTTAAAGCGCGCGCGTCTTGTTTGAAGCTACGCGCGCAACGAATAAAAGAACCGACAATAAAACTCTGACCGACTTCCTATAAAACGCATCTGGATTCGATCCAAATATTTATCCTGACCGCCGTTAACGGCAGTGTAGCCGTAAACCGAAGATTGTTGCAATAACCGTGTAAAACTACTAAGTGGGGTAAGCGCGATTGCGTCACTTCGTTGATCTTGGAATTTGCGACGATTCGATGATGGGCGTGATTCTGCAACGTGTCGCAAACATGGAGCCTTGCTTCTATTAAGGACGAAAAATTACGTTGCTGGATGCGGAAGAGACGTTGCAATGCGACGGAAATAAATGATTGACTTGTCCAACAAATTTGAAGAGTAAAGTCGTTAAGAGAAGATTCTCGTGTAACAGCATTAAAATTAAAGTTTTCTTTTTAATTTTATTAAAAAGAAGAATTAAAAGTTCTATTGTACTAGACTTTTAGGAACATGGAGAGAGGCTTTTAAATTAGACGAAAAAATTTTTTTAGTCTATTTTTTATTATCTTTTATTAAAGAGTAATCAAGTCTTTTAATTCTATTCGACAGTGTAACTATAGTTGCACTCCATCAGGCATCCATCAGAAATGGGCTAAAAACATATTTTCATATATGTAATAGTTTAAGGGTCTCTCTTCATGTTACTAAAAGTCTAGTACAATGGAATTTTTAATTCTTTACAAAAAATATTAAAAAGGATACTTTAATTTTATCGCTGTTACGAGAGAATCCCCCTTGAATAAAAACAAAAAAGCAAAAGAAAAATTGATTGATTGATTATTCATTCAAATATCTTTAGAAAACTGATTTGTTGTACAATCGACCTATAATACGGTTAATTCGTTCCGTGTTAGACGATACGAAGTCATACAAAAGCAGAAATATGGTTTTATGACATAAATTTACACCGGAGTTGGAAAAAATGTAATCTGATTACACTTACCACGCTATGACTCCATGTAATCAATCAGTAATTGCCGTCCAATTGCGGTGTAATTATAATTATAAATCTTCAAAGCGTGTAAAGACTATCTAATTATTGTACGATTACATGTGATTTTATCATGGCAAATGTAATCAGATTACATTTTGCTTGACTCTGATTTACACGCATAAAAAGAGAAAATAAATTTATTCCAACTATTTTTAACGATTTTAAACAAGGACTAAAAATAACATCTATCCTAAAAATTTGTGTCAAAGAAATCATTAACAAAAACGTATTTTTTTACTCATGTTGACAATAATAACCGTGAAATTTAAAGCCAATTTTTGAAAAAACAGCACGACCTTTTAGTCATAACTTGTATATTCCGAAATAGTAAACACGAGATTTTTGTTATATTCATCAAATAAAAAAAACGAAATATGTTTCGGTCCTTTTTCTTTGTACCTTTCAAAATGGAAATCCTTTTAAAAGATATACTAAAAATAATAACAAGAGTTACAATGCAACACTTTGACAATTTACCCAAAGATACAATACTTGCGTTGCGAAAATGATTCAAATTGTCACTTTTCCGACTTCTGAAAATAATTGAAACTGAAATATTTACCGATTATAAAAACAATTCTTTCCTTCTTTATGAGAGGGAAAGTAAAACGGAATTTTTAAAATGTCTAAAAGATGCTAAAATACTGTAAAACAAAATGGCACATATTTTATAGAAGAAGGAAGCAATTAAATTGAAATATAGAGTTCCTTTTCCGAAAGATGGAGAATCAGAAATTTCTCAGGCAATCCAATAGAATATTACACTTACAGTATAAAATTCAGCTCGCAATAGGAGTGGATAATTGTATATTCCATGAGAAAACAAAGTGAAACTCGCTACGTGGTACTTACTTACAACAGCATAGCACCTGAAGTTTTAGTGATTTACTGTGATTATTCCGAGTGGAACACTTTACGTGAGAACTTAAATAAAACAAAAGATTTCGGAGCTGCATGGTAGATAATCCGAATCACAATGGACACAAACCTCACACATCATTTCGATAAATTTTTCACAGAATAAAATTAGTTTTATAACTCGCAATAACTTGGAACGATTAACAACGAAACCATTTATACTAGAACTTCAACCGAACGGTTTCTCGCGCCAATCCTTTGACACCCAGGTTCAACTACTGTCGAAATTCGAAAGAAATGAAGGACAAAAACTCTAGAAAGTTATACCAAACGAAAAAGAAAGGATACGTTTGTCGCACCAGGATGTTATTCGCGATCGAAATAGGGTCGAAAAGAGAAAAAGCAAAAAAGTGAACTCCAA